TTTTTGCTGCACATGCTTAAAAATGCACAGTAATGCTGAAGTTAAAGGTTTAGATGTAGATTCTCTGATCACTGAGCACCTTTATAGGTTCTACACCAACTCCCAAGATACGGTGTAGAGCCTACAAAGCTCATGGACAGATTAATCCACACATGGAGGTGATCCTTAATGAAAACAAGGATCTTAAACCTCCTCCTAAACCAGAAGAGGAGGTTGCACAGAAGAAAATGATATACAAGAAACTGGAGAAATGAAACCTTATGGCCTAGGAGTAAATTCAGCATGATATAATGCTAATAAAAATAAAAACAGAACCCAGCCTGCATGGCTCAGTGGTTGAGCGTCAACCTATAAACCAGGCGGTCACAGTTCAATTCCCGGTCAGGGCACACGTCCAGATTGTGGGCTCAGTGCCTAGTGTGGGGCATGCAGGATGCAGCCTATTGGTGATTTTCTCTTATCACTGATGTTTCTATCTCTCTCTCCCTTTTCCTTCCTCTCTGAAATCAATAAAAAATATATATATATATATATATGCAGAATATGCCGGGACCGGTTTGGCTCAATGGATAAAGTGTCAGCTTGGGGACTGAAGGGTCCCGGGTTCGATTCCGGTCAAGGGCATGTACCTTGGTTGCGGGCACATCCCCAATAGGGGGTGTGCAAGAGGCAAGTGATCAATGACTCTCTCTCATTGATGTTTCTAACTCTCTCTCTCCCTTCCTTTCTGTATAAAATCAATAAAATATATTTTTAAAAAAGCAGAATGTACTTGTCTTTATTAGTATAAACAGGGGTGAGCTACAAAAGTAGGTTGATAATAGTAACAATTACAGAGCACTTAAGATCTTGATCTCCAGCATGTTGTAGATTTATGTGGCTTAAATAAGTTCTTATAAAAATTCTTTTAAAATAATTAATAGCAACCACTGTGGAGAACAGAATGGAGTTTCCTCAAAAGACTGAAAATGGAACTCCCATTTGACCCAGTAATCCCACTCCTAGGATTGTATCCCAAGAAACTAGAAACACCAATCAAAAAGGATATATGCACCCCTATGTTCATAGCAGCACAATTTACAATAGCTAGGATTTGGAAACAGCCTAGGTGCCCATCAGCAGATAATTGGATCAAAAAACTATGGTACAGCAGCCGAAACCGGTTTGGCTCAGTGGATAGAGCGTCGGCCTGCGGACTGAAAGGTCCCAGGTTCGATTCTGGTCAAGGGCACGTACCTTGGTTGCAGGCACATGCCCAGTGGGGGGTATGCAAGAGGCAGCTAGTTGATGTTTCTCTCTCATTAACGTTTCTAACTCTCTATCCCTCTCAATTCCTCTCTGTGTAAAATCAATAAAATATATATTTTTTTAAAAACCTATGGTACATCTACACAATGGAATACTATGCTGCCATAAAAAAGAAAGAATTCTTATCATCTGCAGCAGCTTGGATGGAATTGGAGAACATCATGCTGAGTGAAATAAGCCAGTCAATGAAAGAGAAACACCACATGACCTCACTCATGTGTGGATAAAAAAGAACATTATAAACTGATGAACCAAAAGATAGATATAGAGACAGTAAAGCAACAAGCAGACTATCAGATTACAGTGGGGAGGGGAGGGAGATCTGGAGGAGATAAGAGATAAGGAGTTGTATACATGCATATAAGTACAACCAATGGACACAAAACTCTGAGGAGGGAGGGCATGTATGGGAGGGGAGGAACAATGGTAAGATATGTACACAGATAATAATTTAATAAAAATATAAGAAAAATTTAATAAAGTAGTTAATAATAGTTCAAGAAGAAACTGTTTCTTTCATATACTCTCAACTGTAAACCTACTTTTCCCACCCCTATATATTTCAAGCACCCTTACAAGATGGATAAAACAAGTTTTCTTCTGATTAGAATTAAAAACATAGGTTCTATTAAAATAATAATAAATGTGAATTGTTTAAACTCTCCAATATAGGACAAACTCAGAAACAATTAAAAAATAATAATCTAGCTTTATGACATTTAAGAGATAAATATGCCCAAAGCATAAAGATAGAAAAGACTTAAAACAGACATGGAAAACAGAGAGATGAGGAAAATACTAATTGGCAATATTAATATCAGATAAAAGCATCATTTGATATAAAAGTTCATAAAGATAAAAGGTTCGACTCATCTAGAAGATGTAACAATTTTAAATATGCATGCACCTAGTTTAAAAGCCACAGAAGTATAGAGAAATTAAGATAAGCTTGTCATCCTGATGGGCAACCTTCTCTCAATTACCAAGTCAAGCAGAACAAGGACGCAGCAAGATCAAGACGAACATCTTAACATGTGGAGCTTTATCTACTAAATGCCAAATTCTCAGGCCAACAATTAGATCCACTTTCTTCTAAAATGCACATAAAATAGTCTTGTCTTTTCAAAAATACCTATCACATTACCTGCCTACAAAGCAATAACGTCAGTTCTATAAAAAGGAAAAAAAGATTAAAAGACAAAAAACAAAGATCTCCATGAATGTAAATTAATAACACTTCCAAATAATCCATGGTTCATAATCTAAGTGAGAATTAAAGATGCTTAGAATAATGAAAACAAATTGTATCAAAATATGTGATATGCAGTGAAATCACATCAAGAGAAATTTATAGCCTAAATGTATACATTTGAAAAGACAGACTTTGAAATATACATTTTAAAATTGAATATATTAAAAATAAGAGCAAACACACAAATATTGTGAGGTGCTAGGGTAGGCTAGTAAAAACACTGAGGCTTGAGAAATGAGAGAACACTATGAACAACTCATATCTATATTAAAAAAAAAAAAAAAACAAGCAAAAACCTGACATAGAAAAACCTGTAAAACAATGAGTAAGCACACTAATAATGGCTTTTTGTAGAGTGTCACTTTGTACTTCTGAACAAATGAATCCAGTAAGAGCAGTAATAGTCCTCCATCAGTAGAGGTCCTTGATATCACTTCTATTGTCTCATTTTAAAACAAAACAAAACAATGATATAGAAAACCACACAAAACAAATAACAGCTCAATGAATTTTCATATGGCAAAAACACCCTTACAACTGTCTTCTAGGCCAAGGAAGTAGCTATGTCAGCACCTGAGAAGCCCCTTCACAAGCTCTATCCTAGTAAGTCCTCTTCAAGAGTCACTATTGCCTTTCACAGTAATAGTGTTTCTTTGTGGTTTTATCACACAAGCCCTAGACACTTGAGCTTAACTTTACCACCTTTATTTTAATTTGTCTTTTAAGTCTTTTAATCTAGAACTCTTGGCTTTCTAACCTATGTAACTCCCAGAAACTGTACTTTGCTTGCTGTACACACATGGGGTAGGTCAGCCAACATGCTTCCTTGGCCTCTGTACTTCCTTCAAGCTGACCGCTGTTATCAGACTTGATCACTCTGGCAAGACTAAGGTAGAATTTTATTCTTTCATCAGGAGGTACAAAATGGCTGATTTTCCTTTTATTAGCTAGAATGATTTCATAAGATGCTTCTGTCACTTCTTCTATTTTAGGTTATGTGGGTTGCAACTATTCAACTCTATGGTTATAGAACAAAATCAGCCAGAGATAATACATAAATGAATAAGCATGGTGGTTCCAAGAAAACTTTACTTACAAAAATATGTGCTAACTCCTCTACCACTTGGTTACCCAGTGGCACCATTCTTAAAGGAAAGACAGTAGAAATGCTCAATTATTTACTTGGTTTATAATCTATTATTTTCCAGAAAGTGACTAATTAAGGGTCTACTTTTTAAAATCATCACTGTAAAAAAAAAGCTACAAATATCATGAAATCATGGGCTTCATTCAATCTACTGCCATTCCTATTTCTACTGAAGCTCAAACTCAGTTGCTCTTCACAAACTGGCCCACTCACACCTCCCAGTTACTACCTCCTGGCTGGCTTGCGGTTTTCCTGTGCTCAGGTCCATCCTTTATGGGAACTACAAATAACCTTGACATGGAAATTGTACAGTACAATCAAAGATTTGTTTAAAAGAGAGAACAAAGAAACAAATATAGGATAAACTCATAAAGCTTCATGAAACAAGTAAATCTGAGATGAACCTGGAACTATTTAAAGGATAAGTAATAATAAGAGGAATGAAGAGGAATAATAAACATATTCCAGTCTTAGCAAAGTGTAGTTAGAAACAACATGATGAGCCTATACTTTTGGTGGGATTTTAAAATTCAAATCACAGAAGAGAAAAAGAAGAAACTAGAATATTTCCTAATGGGGATGGGAGAAACAGTGGAAAGCAACGGGGGAAGGGCTGGGCCGAATCAGCCAGACAAGGAAGCTGTTGATGGCATTAGTTCTGGGCCAGGCCCTGGAAGGTGTATGTGGGGGACTCACATACTAAATGCCCTGACAAAGAAGTCACATAAGTCATACTTTAGATGAAGAGTGTGCAGGAGTCAGGCATGGGAGCTGAGAGAAAGGAAGCAGAAAGATCAGCTCGAAGCTAACTGTAGTTTGTCAGGCACAGTGGGATAAATAAAGTAGGGCCACTAAGACATAAGGCATCTCTGGCAGGTCACAGAGAGGGAGGATGCTCAGAAAAGGAAGATTTAAAAATAAGATTTCAAATTCAAGAGAACAGGAGTAGAATTAACAAAAAGGAAAGCTTTAATGTAGAGATCTATGTATCTTTAAACTGGCACATTCTAAAGACCAGCAAAATATTGATAATATTAAAGCTGGATGACTGAGTTCATGAAAATTCATTGCACTATTCTTTCCTCTTTGAGAACAATAAAAACTTCCCTGATAAAAACGTTTTTAAAACTCTGAAATATGTAAATATAGATTCCTCATGGTCCCTTCTTATTCTATTTTTGGGCTAGTGAGCACTTTTCTCATAATATAACATTTCATAAACACCCATAAGAAAATATTTAGTGGTTCATGAAAAAAGTGCAATAAAGGATGAAATAGCATTTAAATTATTACCTTGACCTTTTTCTATATTATCTCCTTTTGCTTCATCTTCTTTAATGGGGGGACTTATTCTAGAGGTCCTGCTTTGCCCCTGGACCATTTCTGCCAGCAATTCTTCTTGAGAAGTTCGAGTTCTGGGAGCAACTGGAAGCGTCTGTTTCTGCGAGACTTTTATATAAAAAGCAAAAAAGATGGAAATGCAAATGTAGTAATACATCAAACTCAACAGTCATCCTAAATAATAAAGAGGTAATATGCAAATTGATCCTCACACTCTTTTTTCCCCCCATTTTGTTTTATTTATTATTTTTTAAATTTTAACAAATCTTTATTGTTCAGATTATTACAATTATTTCTCCCCCCACCCCCACCCCATAGCTCACCTCCACCCAATCCCCACCCCATCCTCTGCCCTTAGATCCTCACACTCTTACAAGATGGCTGCCTATGACCAGGCCAGCAGAAGGGTTAATGAGGAAAGACCAAATACTGAATAAGCAGGCTGTGTGGGGCTACCAGGCCGACAGGGGGGTTAGTGAGGGACAACCAAACGACTTAATAGCAGGCTGCGTGGGGGCGACCAGGCCAGCAAGGGGGGGGGGGGGGGAGTTGGGGGGCGACCAGGGGGGCGGAGGGGGGGGGGCAGTTGGGGGTGATTAGGTCTACAAAGGGGGGGGGGGAGGGGAGAGGCAGTTAGGATGACTAGGCAGGCAGGTAAGCAATAAGGACCCAGCAGTCCAGGATTGTAAGAGGGATGCCTGGGATCGGGCCTAAACCGGCAGTCAGACATCCCCCAAGGATTCACAGATTAGAGAAGGTACATGCAGGGCTAAAGGGGAAACTCCCGCCCCTCTGTGCACAAAATTTGTGCACCAGGCCTCTAGTATTAAACATAAATGCTCCTTTATTTTAGAACATGAGGAGCTTTAAACAGTTCATAGATATCACTTCATTTTTTCTTACAATATTCTCAAGGGATAAGATAACTTGACTTAAATACCTCTATGTGCTCCATGTGTATAAACAGCATTTACCCACTTTAAACCACATGCCATATATACATTGAAGCACATATACATTTTAACCAAATGCAATTTAAGTTCTACTTCATGATCCCATTAACAACCTCAAATTGTAATTTAGATAAACTAGGTAAATAAAGAATTTCAATGCTATTTCTCAAGAAAAACAAAACAAAACTTGGACAATATCCAACTATTATGAAAGCAAAATATTTCAAGTTCACAAATGAGTAAAATTCTCTACCCTTATCATTTTAAATATAGTGACAAAATGGGAATGTAAATAAAAGAATTGATCAGTTTGCCTGAGAATTCTTATCCTATATGCAAAACCTGTTCAATTTCATGCTTAGAGGTTAAAAGAGAAAAAGCAGGGAGACAGATGACTATCAAGATCAAAAGCAAGCTAATAGTTTCCATCACTCTAGGAAGCGGTAGCAAAAGAAATATGAAAAAGCAGAACAGCTCTAAAAGAACCATCAAATAGGCAGCAAAAATAAAATTTAAAGTAATCATTACAGCTTATTAATGAGATTTCACACCCAGCTCTACCATATGGGGCAGAGAGTACAGAATTTAATGACATGACATCCATGATATGGTTTACATTTCAGAATGAGCTTTTTTGTATGATCAGATTATAGCTACCTCATCTCCTCTGCTTTAAAACATGTAATAATTTATATTATCGATTTGACACACACTGGAAAGAGGGAGTAAAAGACATGACAGTTGCTCAAAGAAATAAATTCCACTGACAGTTGGGAAAGTTTCTCAAACTGGCCTAATCCCCTTTTAAAACCATTCTTCTGAACCGCACCTTGGTCTTGACATTGGGTAGGGTTCTTTATTTCACCACAACTTGGTGATCATCATTTCTAGCTTCCTAAGAGTTATAGAAATCTCTTAATGAAAACATAATTCATTTAAATTACCTGTAGAATAGTTAGTTGTTTTTGTTACAGATTCTTGAGCTTCAGATATTGCCTTCAAAATTAGATTCTTATTAGCTTGTTTAGAAGGAGGAAGTGAGGGTCTAAAAAAGTTAACAAAACATTTTAATTATAGATTTGAATTCTTTATGTGCTAGTCATTATGCCTTTACTACAGCCTTCTTTTAAATTTTGGTTTTTTTTTTTTACATCCTCACCTGAGGATATATTTTTACTGATTTTAAAGAGAGAGGAGGTGAACGAAGGGGGGAACATCAATCTGTTGCCTCCACATGCACCCTAACTGGGAATCGAACCCACAACCTACATATGCGCCCTGACTAGTAATCAAAGCCATAAACTTTTTATTGTACAGGACAATCCACCCAACTAAGCCACTGGCCCAGGACCTTCTCTTAGGTTTTGAACAAACTAGCTGTTGTTTTTAGGAAATGCCAACTAGACTGAAATCTTGTTACTATTTAAAATAATAAATCTGACCAACTTTCCCACCCATATTAATTTTTAATATTCTCAGCAATTTCTCCAATTTTAAGCAGTTTTCCTTTCATTAATATGGTTTATTCAAAAACCAATAGGAAAGTCTTATATGCTATTAATTTTTTATTTTTAGGCTATCCTCTTCAAGAAACACAGAAGGCGCCGCCAAGCAATTCAAGGTTAAATTACAGTTATGTTCAGGTACCTCCGTTCAGGCTTTGCAGGCACGGACACACTGCTGGAGATGCTTCCTGTACGGGACCCACAATCATCGTCGTCTTCCTCCTCTTCTCCATCGTGATTAAACTTTTTTACTTTAACAACTGAACTTACCACAGGCAACTTTCTCTTTCGAAAATTTTCTTCCTGTAATCAGATAAATTCATGCTTACCTAGTCTCAGAAAATAACAAAGTTCTACCACAGAATTTTTTCTTAAGAAAAAGCCAATCATATTAATAATTCATGGGCTATTTCCTGGTTTCTTATATTTTATGAATATTATCCCTCTAATAGCCAACCTTTAACAAAAACAACAACATTCATTTATAAGCAGCAGCAACTAGCACTGTTGAGGAAACTAACAAAATAGTTACTTCTTTACCAATAAATGCCATAAGAAATCTAAAAATTGACCTAAAATCCCACCAAAACTATAAGGTATTGTTAAAACTATCTCACATGTTGGCATCACAAGAAAGTAAACAAGGTGTAATATATACTTGTAGAAGTCAGTCATGGAGAAGAAAATCTGATTGGTATAATATGCTGAGCATATAGAAATAAACTTAAAATAAACTTGCAATATGTATGGTATTTAGTTATCTCACATACTATTCACTGCCAATTTTCAGCCTAACAAGGCAAGATTCGCAAGTACATACAAACCTCAATACTCATTTTTTCTGCATTATTTCTGAAGAAAGGACTGTAAGTCTCTTCTAAGCTGTTAAGCATTTCTGGTTCACACAAACGTCCTGTTTCATATACCCGGCTGTTCTGTACATCGAGTTGCTTGGCAGCATGAATACTGTTTTGCTGCTGTTGAAATTGCAACCTGTTTAAATGAAGACCACCATCTGCAGTTCGACTTGCAGGTGGTCGATAAATTTCAATAGAAGGGCGAGAAGAACCGTATGTGAGTGTCACTGTGGGTTTTTTCTGAGATAAGGGATTCTCCTGCACAAAATTGAGGTCTTCATCAATGAGGTCATCTGGTTCCGGCTTAATATCAATCACATCTTCAGAGGGGGCTGGCTCCCTCAGAGGTTTCACTGTTGACATTAATCGGGTTGCAGCTCCATCATCATAACTCTGCCTATTAAACACACACTCAAACATATTACAACCAATTTAGAGGAATATGATCAAATAGTCAAAGAATATTTAAATTGTAAGGTAGTCATTAAAAACTACTTTGAAATGGCTTTTTTGTTTTAAACTTTGATTTACAATATTTTAGGTAATCATACTTTGATCTCATCCACTTTTTATTTTAAAAATTGCTCATGGCCGAAACCAGTTTGGCTCAATGGATAGAGCATCGGCTTGGAGACTGAGAGGTCCCGAGTTCAATTCCGGTCAAGGGCATGTACCTTGGTTGCGGGCATATCCCCGGTAGGGGGTGTGCAAGAGGCAGCTGATCGATGACTCTCTCTCATCGATGTTTCTAGCTCTCTATCTCTCTCCCTTCCTCTCTGTACAAAATCAATAAAAACATTAAAAAAATAATAATAATAATAAATAAATAAATAAATAAATAAAATTAAATTAAAAAAAAATTGCTCATGACCACGTACCTCACTATTTCCAAAACTTTCTGAAAGGGGCAATTCAAAGATATGGAAACTATGTAAATGTCACATATTTCCCCATCTGTCCATAGGTGGTCTACACAGAACTCTTACCTGACATTAGTGGCTTTCTGCTCCTGTGAACTTGAAGAAACTCTGGACTCTCTTTTCTCAGATCTGGTGCTAGAAACTGCAAGAGGTGGCACTGCAGCTTCGTGCCTTCTCTCATCGCCCCGACTGAAGCTGCTCTTATTGGAAGGCACGTTATTATCGAATATGTTGGTATCAGAAGACTTTAGACTAGAGGGGTCTGGAAAGAAAAACATAATCCTTTTATACTATCTTATTACTTTGATCCTTCCGCTTGTTCATAATTTAAGTTATACATGTTCACAACATTTTTAATGGCTCAATATTATTCCATACATAGTAATATCGTAATTTACTATTACTGAACTTTTAACTAATTTTCAATTATAAAATATTGAAATATCCTTGAAACTGAACTGTTGCACACTTCTATAATGACTTCCTTAGGATAAACTGCATAGTTCCCTTCTTTTATTTAAATTATCTTTGAATTATATTAAATGTATTGCTCTTCGTCAGCTTGGGGACTGAAGGACCCGGGTTCGATTCCGGTCAAGGGCATGTACCTTGGTTGCGGGCATATCCCCAGTAGGGGGTGTGCAAGAGGCAGCTAATCGATGACTCTCTCATCGATGTTTCTAACTCTCTATCTCTCTCCCTTCCTCTCTGTATAAAATCAATAAAATATATTTAAAATAAATAAATAAATAAATAAATAAATAAATGTATTGCTCTTAAATTTGTAACAATATGTGCTTCCTAAAAAATGTTCAAATGAACTGTTTCCAAATTTATGTGTTCATTCCCCAAAGCAGTGTAAATGGCTTTAGAAGAAAGCAATCACATGCTATAGCAAATCCCCCCAAAAGCTCATTTTTATGAATCTTACCTGTTGTAACAGAACGAAGTTTATCTAATACACCATGGAGCCTAAAAGAAAACAAAAATATCTTAAGTTTCCTTAATCAAGAAAGACTTTATTTCAACTACCACTCTAAATTTGATGACATTATGGAATCAATCTTCAGATAAATATTGATAAATGATACCAAATGGTATTTAATGGATAAATGGTATCATCACATTTTAAAAAGGCTTTACATGAATACTACAAAAGCCAATTAAAAATAATTTTTATCACTATTTTCAACATCTAACCTCTGCAAAAATAAGTGACAGAATATGACTTATTTTAGATAAGACTGTGTTATCTAAAAGGATGCATTTTGTTTCCTAAGGACTAAAGATGCAATGTAACTGATGGTAAAAGATAAAATATCACACACACACTTGTACTACAGCTTACTATTACAATTATTTAGGCATTATTTAAATTATTTTTATCTACTCATATGGTTTCTGGAAAAAAACTTAATTCTGAGTTAAGAAAACTTAATCTCAAAATATACTATCACATTTCACTGTATCTGTTATTTACAAAATAAATGCTGAAAACAAGCACAGACCATAACCCTGCTTATAATATTACCTATTTTATTTTAGTTATGTACAAGGCAAATTTGCCTTACAATCCTCCCACGAGGCCATGACTCCTGAAACACCAGAAATAGCTCAGTATGTTTCACCCCGAACCCAGTTATATGCCACTGTTGCCTAGGACACAACTACAGCAGGGCTCCGAAGGATAATTTGGGACCATTGTCAATGAACCATTTAACTTAGGAAAGCAAAGTGCCAAATGATAGACACTATCACTTGCATCAGTACACATTAAAGAACTGAACTTATGGCAAGGTGAAAAAGTTGAATTAATTTGATTTTAAATTCAAATTCAATTAGCAGTATGTTTATGTAAGAAATTTGTCTAACACATTCCATCAAGTTATCTAAGAAATAATACACTAGGTCAATCTCCTATATTAATTTTAGAGGGACTCAAAACTAAAGTGATCAAAGGTTAAACCAGCCGAAACCAGTTTGGCTCAGTGGTAGAGCGTAGGGTCTGTGGACTGAAGAGTCCCGGGTTCGATTCAGGTCAGGGGCGTGTACCTTGGTTGCGGGCGCGTCCCCGGTAGGGGGTAGTGCGGGAGGCAGCTGGTTAATGTTTCTCTCTCATTGACATTTCTAGCTCTCTGTCTCTCTCCCTTCCTCTCTGTAAAATATCAATAAAATATATTTTAAAAAAAAGAAAAAAAAAGGTTAAATCAGAAGTCAGGTCATAAAAATGTACATGAATCAAGTACCTGGACTGCAGAAGACTTTAAAAAAAGCACTCACGATAATGGTCATTTCCCCAGGCAAAACACCTTGATCTTTTTTGGGAGGTCCGGAGGGTACATTTTGGGGACAAGCTGTAAACAAGTGGGTTAGGTCACACACACTATGTACTAAAACATTTGAGGATCAACCACTGTACATCATGTTCTCCAAAACTATAATACAAACTAGAGAATCCTGGATGGCATTTCAAGCAAGTTTCAGAAGGATTGTAAAGCATTCATTTACCTCCTGGGGCAAAATCATCTTCAAGATAAGCTTTTGGTTTAAAGGCAGAAAGTTAACCAGCTTCTTCATATTCCTCCTTAGTGCCTCCTATTCCCTGTCCCAGTCTCCGGCCTTTCACATTAAGCAGGCTGTTCTGCTCGCTCACTTTCTGCTCCATCATCCGCTTGTGCTGTAACTGGTGGTCTCCAGTGTGAGGAGCCCTAAGGGGACTTCCTGCTCTGTTCTCCTCCACATCATCACTCTGTCCACCTGAAACCTGGTTCCAGAACCTGACTTCTTAAACTTAGATCTTATGCTGCTAGTCAGTAGTTTTAACGAAAGGCCTAAAAGGACACTGAAGATTATAATACTGATTTATATTTGAACACCAAGTTGCCTATCTTAAAATTCCAAACTTCAAAAAGTTCTAAACTTTAAAAAATTTAATCTGAAATTCTGTCAAAATCCTTGCCCCCTCAGAATGAACTCAGAGAAAGCAATTTAGGAAGGCAACCCAGTCCAAAAGAACACCTGCAGCCAATTTAGGCTAAATGAGAGAAATAATAAGATGAAGACAATGCCAAAACCAGTTTGGCTCAGTGGATAGAGCATCGGCCTGCGGACTGAAAGGTCCCGGGTTCGATTCTGGTCAAGGGCATGTACCTTGGTTGCGGGCACATCCCCAGTAGGGGGTGTGCAGGAGGCAGCTGACCGATGATTCTTTCTCATTGATGTGTCTAACTCTAATCCTCTCTATTCCTCTCTGTGAAAAATCAATAAAATATATTAAAAAAAAAAAAAAAAAAAAAGATGAAGACATTTACAAGAGAAACACAGGAACTACAGTTAACACATATACTAAGTACTTGCTAGCGGCCGGACACAGCTGTGAGCACATTACATGTGTTAGCTCACTAGCCCTCAAAGGACCCTATAAAGGTGATTTACTATTCACGTTTTACACATGGAGAAACCGAAGCAAGAGGCAGATGAGGATTCAACCTTGGCAGTCTGGCTCCAGAGGCTGTGCTCATTGCTCACAACTTGCCTCCCACACTGACTCTGCCTCTCCTGTCAGGAGCCCCTCTTCAGAGAGAACACCTGCTCTGACTTGTGCCAAACTTTGGTCTGAGGAGTAAATATTCTGAAACATACCATACGGTGAATCGGATCGTGTTGTTCCCTAGAAACAGGGACAGGTCCTCTGTCATTTGGTCCTGACTTTTCTTGTTGGCCACCATCACCATAATGTAATCTGGAAGTTCTTCATCTATTTAAAAGGAAAAGTATATAAAAACTTTTATGTTTCCCTCTATTTAAAGTTGCCGTGCTTGAAAATATAGATGTAGCTCTAAGAATTAACATTTCAGCTCTACAGGAATTATGTTTTTTTTAAAAAGTGCCGAAACCGGTTTGGCTCAGTGGATAGAGCGTCGGCCTGAGGAGTAAAGGGTCCCGGGTTCAATTCCAGTCAAGGGCATGTGCCTTGGTTGTGGGTGCATCCCCAGTTGGGGCTGTGCAGGAGGCAGCTGATCGATGATTCTCTCTCATCAATGTTTCTAACTCTCTATGCCTCTCTCTTCCTCTCTGTAAAAAGTCAATAAAATATATATTTTTTTAAAAAGGTATAGCTTTTTTTCTCCTCATTCTATAGGTATTTCAATTACAAAAGGGATGGGATTTGGAATAATGAATACTTACAAAACTAGAGATTTTAAATTACAAACTTGAGAGTACATACATATCCATCATCGTTTTAAAAATGCTAATTTCAGAGAAGTTTCCAGGAAGCATATGGACATCCACCAAACTGAGTTTTGTTTAGTGTCTGTTTCAAAATGACACTCATTTCTCAAGAGAACAACTTTACCCTTAATAAAGTCAGGTTTCAATTATTTAAGGTAACAACCATGCAGCAACATCAAATAAACTAAAACCACCAAAAAATCTTGTATCATTTTAAAGTTCCATCTTAAGATTAAATAATTTCAACTCATTTGTTTTGTACTAATACCCTCCTACACAGTGATTATGAGGGTGAGATCAAGAACCAAAATCAACAAAAATAAAAACCACCATAATGAGAAGGTATGGAAGCAAGTCATTCATCAGGAACTCTAATCCCTACCAAAAAAAAATTTATTTAATACCTTAAATACTCATAACATTTCTATATAGACAGATTTCAGAAGTACTATCAGACATTTGTTAAAAGGAGAAATATAAAAAATCCAGTTCAAGAAAAGCACAACTATATTGCAGATAATGGGAGTATTATTTTGTGGTACTACACCAAAATTCAACAAGTGATAGTTTCTTAAGGATTAGTAGCAATATGGAAACAAAAACTGTATCAAATAACCTTTTTTTGTATTGTTACATGAAAATCCATTAATCTGCCCTACCCTTTTTTAAAAAAAATATTTTTACTGATTTTCAGAGAGGAAGAGGGACAGATAGAAACATCAATGAGGAGAGAGAGAGAACATCAGCCCACTGCCTCCTCCATGCCCTGCCCTGCCCTGCCTCCCCCCATCCCCCAAACCAACTTGTTATGTTGGCAGCAAAATCTATCAGTTTTTTCCTCTGCTCACTTTTAAGAAAATGTCTGGCCAAAACCGGTTTGGATCAGTGGATAGAGGGTCGGCCTACAGACTCAAGGGTCCCGGGTTCGATTTTTTTTTAAATGTCTGGCAATTACCCAAGTGTATATAACTAGCTTGTAATTATAATTTAAAAATGTTCCATGAAAAAGGTGGCTAGTTCAGTTCTCAACTCAATTACACAAATCCTTTTCCTTAAAAGACAACCCATCATGCTTCAGTGTACGCCAGAAATACTTTATACGTTTGTACTGTACTTTATAAGCATATATTTATAAGTATTTCCTTCTTCTTCACTGCATGTTAAATAATGTAATCAAGGGCCAGGATTTTAAAAATATATTTTCACTGCTTCATCAATTATGTTCTTAAGTGAAAAGGGCTTTTTTAAGAATTGCAAGTAAAGCCGAAACCGGTTTGGCTCAGTGGTAGAGCGTCGGTCTGCTGACAGAAAGGTCCCAGGTTTGATTCCGGTCAAGGGCATGTACATTGGTTGCGGGCACATCCCCGATAGGGGGTGTGCAAGAGGCAGTTAGTTGATGTTTCTCTCTCATCGCACGTTTCTGGCTCTCTATCTCTCTTCCTTCCTCTCTGTAAAATATCAATGGAATATATTTAAAGAAAAGAAGGAATTGCAAGTAAAGAATATGATGCTTTCCCCTAAAGTTTGGTGTGAGGACCTTGATTTATTGATTCAGGGTCAAGTACCAGAAGTTTTACCCACTATTGCTTTTGCACAATACAAATGTCAGTATTAATATAAAAAACAATTTTGGCTCTAACCAGTTTGGCTCAGTGGATAGAGCATCTGCCTGCGGAATGAAAGGTCCCAGGTTCAATTCTGGTCAAGGGCATGTACCTTGATTGTGGGCACATTCCCAATAGGAGGTGTGCAGGAGACAACTGATCAATGTTTCTCACTCTCTATCTCTCTCCCTTCCTCCCTGTAAAAAATCAATAAAATATATTTTAAAAACAAAACACAAAACAAAACAATTTTGACTTCAGAGTCCCTTGGAGTCTTCCACACCTTGAGAACCACTTTCATCATAAGTGACAGCTATTATTTGTATAGGAGGCACCAGCTTTGCAGCCAAACAAATCTCAATCTTGCTCAAGTAAGCACTCAAGGCCTCAATCTCCCTGCTTGTACAGTTGGGGATATTACACTTACCTTCCAGTGTCCTTCTGAGGATTACCATGGCCTAATGCATACACATAGAGGTTAAGCATAATGCCTGGCCCAAAGTAAATGCTCAAATTATAAAAATCACAAAAGAACAAAGAGGATACATTGCTGTTAGCAGGTAAAAGCGAGAGGAACAGGAAATAAATAAATTAATTAATTAATTAATTAATTGAAGTGAAAATAAAACTCACTGAACCATGGCAGAGGCAAATGGCAGAAAGCATCAAACAACCCAAATGCAAAATAATTGTGAAACATGAAGATCAAGAAAAGCAAACAAAATAGGGAAAACAATAAAGATACGACCATGCCTCAACAGAGGAAGCTAAACAATTTCAAAACACCCAGAAGAGGGTACACACACGTACACACACACACACACACACACACACACACACACACACGGCTGAATATAGAGCTTTCCATTAAAAGTAAAACGGCTGAGAAAAGAAGTAACCAGGGATTGTCTGACGTTGATCAGCAGAAAAGGGTTTCTTCAAAGTCAGCAAATTACGTCGGGGAAAATGCACCCACTAAGAAACAATTAGCTGCAAATTCCAAATTGCATTAGGTTAACAAAATCAACAAAACTTACCAACATAAGCTCCTAATTCTTGCAATTTCCCCTTAATGGCACTCTGACGGGGGTTGGAGGAGAGGAGAAAAAAAAAAAAGACAAACGTACGTGAGAGAACGGCGGCCCTTAGGAAAACCGACTTGCAACGCAGACGCAACTGTGCGGGTTCACGCACCTCCAGCCCCGCTGGGCGCCCGGGGGAGGCGGGAGGCGCCGGGGCCCGGGCCCATCCTCCCGACCCCCCACCGGGCCGCCCCCCGCGTCCCCCCCACCCCCCCCTTCCCCATCCCCTCCCCCTCCCCCTCCCGAGAGGGGTGCACGGCTCGCACCGGCTCCTTCCGCTCCCCCCGCTCCCCCGCAGCTCCAGGGGCCGAGCCAGCCCCCCAGGCCCCGGAGGCGCCGCCAGCCCGTGACCAGGCCGCAGCGTCCGGGCCGGGCCCACCACCCCGTTACTCCTGACAACCGCGCGCCCGCCGCGGCCCGGCTTCCCGCCCCCGCCCCCCGCGGGCCTCACCCGGATCTTGCGGCTGATCTCCGTGCCAATCTCCATGGCTCCGCGGCGGGCGGCGAGCTCAGCACGGCGCGGCGCTTCGCTGAGCCAGAGCCCGGAGCCGGCTCCAGCACGCAGCCCCCGGGCCACAGCCACAGCCACCGCCACCGCCACCGCCGCTTCGGGGTGCGCGGTCTGCGTGACCCGCCCACAGCGTCCCGGCGCCCGGAGCGAGCCGGGTGCAGCGCGCCTGCGCCTGCGCACGCGCCTGCGCACACCTGGGCCCGCCGGGCCTGCGCTCTGGCGCCCTCTGCTGGAGGCGGGGAGAGCGGGGGCTTGCGCACGGCCTGGGATGCACTTCCTCTGTAGGCACCTGCAGAGCTGGCTAGGTGGTTCGTCCCTGTTCTCGCCCCTAGTTATTAATTTTACTCTCCTCTGAGAAATATGGATGAGTTAAATATGCAGCGAGAAAAATCTCTGGCTTTGACGTGATATCCGAATTCGAGTCCAGCCTTCACTTACATAGGTTCACAGATATTGGTTTAGAGGTTTAAACTTTCAAACATTTTTTTTTTCGATTAAAGTTTACAGGGAACATTATCTTGTATTCGTTTCAGGTGTACAGAATAGTGGTTAAACAATCAAATGGTTTACAAAATGGTACCCCAATAGGTATCTAAACTCTTGAGTCCTGGTTTTCTACTGCCTCCTAGCGGTTGCATTATAATTATACTTGGAGGGAAAATGGAATATCCAGTGCAACAGGGCTAGAACGCTGGTCTGCAAACTGTGGCTCGCGAGCCACATGCAGCTCTTTGGCCTCTTGAGTGTGGCTCTTCCAAAAAATACCACAGCCTGGGCGAGTCTATTTTGAAGAAGTGGCGTTAGAAATTTAAGTTTAAAAATTTTGGCTCACAAAAGAAATTTCAATCGTTGTAGTGTTGATATTTGGCTCTGTTGAATAATGAGTTTGCCGACCACAGGGCTAGACTATCATAGTCCCTTGTTTGACTCCACAACTACTCTGAGTGGGGTAGAGGGTAGCTACAACCAAGTCACAGGTGCTGCCTACACTCAAGGGAGGGGATTGATTATTCAGGGTGTGAACAGCAGGAGTAGAAATACTGAGGCCACCTAGGGTCTGTCTGCCATGTGGCCCTTCATCTCATATACCTTTTTTTCTTTTTCTTCTGAATTCCTTTACCATCTATTTGGGAGCTGCTACTGGGACAAAACATGCCCTGTAATGTTTATTTTACTTGTGGGTGTGTCCTAACAAAATCATACATTCCTTGTAGGTCTGTATTTCTCCAAAGTGTCTTTCCGAATGCTAAACACATAGTAAGCATTTACTGAATATTGTAGGATAAAAGAAATTAATGACTAAATTATGGATAAATTCAGCGATCATGTCTTCATTCAACATTGATGAGAGGCAGTGGAGCAGAGTGACTGAGAACAGGGACACCAGAGCCAGGCTGTCTAGGTAGAATCCCAGCTCCCCTACTCCCTGTGAGGCCTTAGGCATGTTGTTTATTTCTCTGTGCCTCAGTTTATTCACCTCTGGCATAAGTACGACACCAGTTTCTCCTTCTTCGGGGTTATGATAAGGATGAAATGTTAATATTTTGGAAACATTTCAAACTGTGCTTGACTCATAGCAGCACTATGTTTGTTGATTAAAAATTAAAGACCTTCCCTGAGCCAGATACTGTGCTGAAAGCCTGAGCACACAGATGAGCAAGACTACATTCATGACGCAATCCAGAGACAGTACAGCGCAGCCGGTGTTGTTCAGAGGCTGAGTGTTGACCCATGAACCAAGAGATCACCACCAGTTCTACTCCGCATATGCCTGCAGCCAATCGATGTTTCTCTCTCATTGATGTTTTTATCCCTTTCCTTTTCTCTCTCTCTAAAATCAATTTTAAAAAAAAGGACAGGTACATTGTTTCTATTTGTTTATCCACCATTTCAGACTTAGAACAAAAACAAAACAAAACAAAAAAAACATATGTTTTCCATGCCTAGATACAAAAATTTTTAAATATATTTTATTGTGTTTTTTTTTTACAGAGAGGAAGAGAGAGAGAGATAGAGTTAGAAACATCGATGAGAGAGAGAGACATCAATTAGCTGCCTCTTGCACACTCCCTACTGGGGATGTGCCAGCAACCAAGGTACATGCCCTTGACCGGAATCGAACCTGGGACCTTTCAGTCTGCAGGCCGACGCTCTATCCACTGAGCCAAACCGGTTTCGGCTAGATACAAAATCTTAACCAATATTGATATTTAGATAATATTGAAAGGACATGTTAAAATAATAGATTTTCATTAAAATGTATGCAAAATAAACTGATAAACAAAATAGAACCAGAGACATAGAAGCATGGATTAGAAAAATCTCAGAGAAAAGGCTGGGGGGGGGGATTAATTTGGGAATTTATATGCATATATGCATAGCCAGGTCACAGTCAATAGTGTGGTGAAAAGCTGGGAGGGGCAGGTGTGAGGTGGAGCGGTTTATAGGGGGAAAAAAAGGAGGACATCTGTAATACCTTCAACAATAATGATAAGTTAAAAAATAAAAATAAAATGTAGTCCGGCCGGTGTGGTGCAGTGATTGTGCGTCAACTTAAGAACTAGGAGGTCTCAGTTCAATTCCCAGTCAGCACACATGCCCAGGTTGTGGGCTTGATCCCCAGTGAGGGGCATGCAGGAGGCAACTGATCCTCATCATTGATGTTTCTCTCTCTCCCTTCCTCTCTGATATCAATAAAGACATATACTTATTTTTAAAATGTTAAAAAATAAAATGTATTTGGAATGGGGAAATTTGTACTAAAATGTATTCAAGAAAGAGTTAGCTTTGGATACAATCCATTTAAAACTATTGGGAAAGGGACTTGCAGGCTGCTAAAGAACTCGCCTATTTAGATCTCAGGAGTTATGTGGACCACAGAGGAGCAGCCGGTGGCCCGGTGTTTCTTGGGAAGTTGCAGCTTCACAACTCTATCTCATCAAGAAGATGATCATGATGATGCCCGTGGAGAATCTATTAAAGTAAGGTGACTTTGGCTGAAACCGGTTTGGCTCAATGGATAGAGCGTCGGCTTGGGGACTGAAGGGTCCCGGGTTCAATTCCGGTCAAGGGCATGTACCTTGGTTGTGGGCAAATCCCCAGTAGGGGGTGTGCAAGATCCAGCTGATGGATGACTCTTTCTCATCGATGTTTTTAACTCTCTATCTCTGTCCCTTCCTCTCTGTACAAAATCAATAAAAAAAAAAATATATTAAAGTAAGGTGACTTTTTTAAAATGCTGCGGGATGCAGGACAAATTGTTAAAAATCGGGACTGTCCGCCAAAAGCGAGATGTCCGGTCACCTTACGTTAAAGGGGTCTTCGGCTTGAAAAAGACTAAGCTGACCCATGAGAATTCTTTTGCAACATGGCAGGGAGCTCGGGTTCAGGAGGAATGACATATTTTGCTCAGGGGACAGAGTGAAGACTAGATTGCAACGCACCACAGCGCCGTCTAGGAGAGCTCTGGGCTGTCTTCCGAGAGAGGTGACTGAAAAGAGCATAGGTTCCGAAGACGGCAGGGTCGGAGTACTAATTCCTGCTCCATGGAGCTTGTGTCCCCTCACACGGGCCCCTGGCACCTCCAGCCTCCTCTCAGGCCGCATTCCTGCTGGAGATTGCACATCCCCTGGAAGTATGCGCTGGGCGTGGCTCCTTCAGCCTGGAATGCTTTTCTCTTGTTTTCTTTGGATGTTTAGTGAGCTTGTATTTGTCCTTCCAGACGCAGCTAGAAGCTGATCTCAGTGGTAAGCCAGGCGTTTCCACTCCATGTAGAATATATGCCCACTAAGTGAATATATTAATACTAGCAATGCCACTAGAGTTAGAGATTCACCTGTTTCTCCCCTGGTGAGTCTTTGAGGACCAGGCTATGTATCAATCAAAATATGTACTGCCTTTCTCTTTGCAGCATCTGTATCCAATAAATATGGGGTGAATGGACAAGTCTTACTTAAAAAAAAAATATATATATATATATATATATTATTATTATTATTATTATTATTATTGATTTCAGAGAGGAAGGAAGAGGGAGAGAGAGATATAAACTTCAGTGATGAGAGATAATCATTGACCAGCTGCCTCCTACAAGCCTCACACTGGGGATCGAGCCCACAACCCGGCAATCAACTAGAATTGAACCTGGGACCTTTCAGTTCACAGGTCAACGCTCTATCCAATGAGCCAAATCGGCTAGGGCTAGACAAGCCTTTCCAATAGTGGGTATCACATGGCATGTCTGCCCTTGGATGAGAAATCCTAAATTCTGGGAATTATACTCATAGCAGTCACTTATGCTACTGAGTCTGACAGACTTTTCTCTCCATTTTCATGTCCATTTGAGTAAGTATATTGCCAACACCATTATTCTTCGGTTGTCTGGGGGGAATTTGGCCTCTAAATTCTCACTCCTTAGCAGCTAAAAAAGTGCTGTATTGCACCTGGGAGAAAGGGAGTGCATGTGGTAGGCAGAGCACCTGATGAGTGTTCACACCCGGTGAGGAGATTTCACCTTTCTGGCTCTGGCTCCCACTGCCCGCTGCACCCAGGCATCATTATCTCCATAGGGCGGGACAGTCATTCAATTCAGATTCTTGCAGAGGATGAATACTTTCATAGGGGGGTACAGTTGATACTCACCAAGCTGTCAAAGCGGATTCATTTCTTAACTCCCCCCAAATTGTTGTCACTGCACCACGAAAATCACCATTTCCTTCCGTGTTATGGAGCCTCTTTTCAGTCCAGAACTTGCTTTTGTAAATCTTAATTTATGTATTTTTTACAAAATCTATTTTATTGATTTTTTACAGAGAGGAAGGGAGAGGAATAGAGAGCTAGAAACATCGATCAGCTGCCTTCTGCACAGTTCCCACCGGGGATCTGCTTGCAACCAAGGTACATGCCCTTGACCAGAATCGAACTCGGGACCTTCCAGTCTGCAGGCCGACGCTCTATCCACTGAGCCAAACCGGTTC